CGCTTGAGCATGTCCTCAGCAAGAGCTCTAAAATTTGAAGTAAAGACGAGAGCTAAAAAAAAGCAAAAAAACACTAAAACATATTCTAAAATTTTATGAACGCACAAAAATGAAGCAATCGAGGAGCTAAGGCAAAATATTCTTTCTAAGACAACTGGCATGTAACGTGAGAAATTGTGCAGATTCCTGGATAACAATCTGTTACATGTAACATTACGCTCAAATAATTGTGGCCAGTTGGGGCTTTTAGTTTCGCATTTGTTGCTCCCTGCTGGGTGTATTTCCTATTGGCTACCAACATGCTGTGATTCATTCATAGGCGGTTTATTCGATTGTACCTCATCTACCACATGTTTCTTGTTTGTTGATTTTTCAATTATCGCGCGCTTTGTCGTGGCTATATATGCGTTTTTTACAATATTTTGTTCTACTTTTTCCCGTTTTCGTCTAAAATATATATTTTTAAAATTTTCTTTCCTGTTTACTCGCAATGCCCATCCATATAACCCCTCCTACCACCGGTTTTGTACAACAGAATTCCGGGGTTTTTCGTTTCCGCAGTGTTACATATAGCAGATTGTTACCGATCGCTGTAGCGCAAAAGAAGGCGCATGAAAAAAATTAGTCCGATTGTAAGTACATTGGAGGCCAAACGGTTTGCTTATATGGTTCCCTAAAGCGGATACCGGAATAGGGATGTCGTGCACAAGTAAGGTATGCGACTCTGCGCATAATTGCAGGAAGGTTGAGTATTCCCCGTGTCCTGACCTCAACATTAGCCAAGACGTAAACAGTGGCCCTAGTATTAACTTTAACCATATATTAAAGCCCAACTATACAGTTAAAACTACCTCTAACCCTGAAGATAACTCCAGCAAAAACCCTTAATCTACCCTATAGCCAACACTAACCTTAGCCTTAATCACATGTTTAAGGTCCTATGAATTTGATGTAAAGACAGCCATATTGTGACTGTTTCTATTTTCATGTACATGGGCCATATGAGTACTTCACAGCCTGGTGTCAAATTAACAACAAACATGGTTGATTCCGGACATCGGGCAGACCCCAACCAAGCCTTCCGAGTAATCTACAAGGCCCCATCAAATCATACAAAGTCCCTGGGTCAGGGCATGCTAGCAACAGCAGAAGCGACCGCTATCAGGTTGGTGGAGCCGGCGTTGTGTGCACAAAAGAACTTCCTACTAGCTCCGCAGCTGGCGTGGCCCACAGTCACTTAGCCGCATGCATTCATCCGCGCTCTGTTGGCCACCCTCCCCACGTCTCCCCGTCCCCCCTCCCCTAGACTGCTCCATAAACCCTACCCTCACAACCAGCCTTCGCTTATCGACCTCACCCCTCCCCCCGCAAGGCCCACGAGTCACTTATATGACAAGACGAACACGTTTGAACTTTTACTTCGTCTTCATATAAATGTACCGGTCTGACGATAATTTATCGAAAGTATACGAACGCTCGCCAAACTAGTCTTCTGAATTCTCTGATGGGAATTTTCGCAACTCTAAAACCATCTTATAATAGCAACAGAAAATTGCGACTTTAAGGGATGACGAAACATCTTAACAAAACTTATCACAAACTGCCACATTGTCATGTACGGGGGATTATAATAAGGCAAAATGGAAGCCTCAAAGTCTATTGGATAGAAGTGCGCATGAACCAGGCAAACTCCATGTTTGGAATGCACAACACCCTTAGAATTGTCTGTTCCACATTCAATAAATAAGCGGAAATTAATTGGTCATGATGGAAGCTAATGTTACCATTTTACGCTTTACAATGCACATAAGGGCTGAATAGCGTGCATGAACGCACACACCAGCAAGACAGCAAAAAAGCTCGAAGTACGTCACACAGGGGAGATATAGTATCAAACCTCTGACGCAAATATTCCTTCTCTTCCACGCGAATGCGCTCG